CAGGTCTATTTTTAGTTCTCTAAGTGTTCTCCAGATGTCTTTCCAAAAGGAACATATTAGTTTACATTCCCACCAGCAGTGTAGGAGTGTTCCCTGATTAAAAGCATTTCAAAATGTAATTTTATTTTTTCTTTGGTAATATAAAAACAAAAACACATTGTATTTTTATTGTTTTCTATTTAAAAGTACACAAATTAATGCCTATATTTTTATATCCATTGATATTTTATCAGTATATGTACTTTCCTTTCACAGTACTACGAGCACCATTGCTATTATCCAGCAATGAATTTGAATTTGAAATACCTTTACATGAGATGGAGCCTAAAAATAAGGTGGGAAGAAATGAGGTATGTATAGATAAGTGGTACAATTTACAACTATTTTTGCAATTGTAGTTTTTAGTAGAGTAAGTTGATTATTCTGAAGCATAGCAATTTAAACTATTCCTTATGATTAATTTCTTCTCAAACATTTATGCTCTTTGGAGCCAGAATGCTGGCATTTTTAAAGACTTTGCATATGTATAATTTCTCAGAGGTAATTTTCAAAGTATGCAAACATGTAAACGTTATAAATATTTACATATGTACATGTTTAATAAGAATATTGAAAATATTTTTGAATATAATTAGATTATCCCTCTCTCATTACACAAATGGAAGTTACAATTTAAATTAATGTCAAATGTGTTCTATACATGTAAGTAAATGTGGTTAGAAGTGAGAATAAAAAGTGAAAAAATCCAAGTATATGATACAGTAACTTCTATATTAATCTACTCTTTTTTCTTACTGGATATCTCTGCCTCTCTTCTAATTGACAATCCATCCAAAAGGAAAAAAGAGAGACATACATAAGAAAGAGCCTCTTGCAGGCATTGTAGAAATTTGTACTTGAACTTTCATTGTTTTGCTTTATGTTTTGCTGTTCCTGGAACTGATTTTGAGCCTCTATAGCATTGAAGAAAAATTATATGGAGAAACTATTTAACATTGCATCCATGAAAACAGCAGAGTGTCATATAATATAGTTAGAAATCAATGAAGGGGCTCTCAAGAAATTAAAAAAAAACAGCTTATAGTATAAAAAAAGTCAATGAAATGTCTACTTCTAATGGAACTTCAAGGATGCAAAAGACCTTGTATGTGGTGCTAGAAAAGAAACCTTAATGAACTAAATAGATCCGGAGTTCAGATATAAACAATTGCCTCATAATTGTGGGATTATTTTATACTATTGAAATTTTAGTCAATTGATATAGGAAGATACAATCTTGATGCCATTAGCCTTCTCTCTTGAGTGGCAAGGGGTAACACCAGCTCGGTGGAGGAAAAAATGTGACTCTAATTCACTAGAGATATTTCCCCTAAATGATATTTACAGAGTCATAATAATATATACAATACAAAGAAGACTTGGTATGTTTATGGAAGGTTAAGTTAGCAGAAAGATTGGGTATGGTAGAAAAAAAGGGGAATGAAACATCTTAGATAGTGGGTTATTAAGAGCTATTATCTATATTTGACAAAATGAGATATAAATATATTGCTTAAAATTACCAGGTGACTAGTGAAACAATTAAAATAATACAAATATCCAAAAATGGGAAGTGAGGAGAAGTTGGGGTGAAGTAGCGCCAATGAGTTAAATCCTCATCTTTTCTAGTGGGCAATCAGGACAATCAAACCATGAAATAGCCACCTAGCAGGCAGAATAATGACCCTAAAGATGCGTAAGACCTAATTGCCGGAATTTGTGGATACATGACTTTATATCATAAAAGACAATGTGCTGATGTGATTTTGGTTAAGGACCCTGAGAAGGGGAGATTATCCAGCACTGTGTAGTTGTAGGAGTGGTTAAAAACAAGGAGCCTTTCCTAACTGTGCTCAGAGGGAGATGTGATGACAGAAAAAAGGACAGAGCCGTGCAGTGTTGCTAACTTTGAATGGAAAGGAAGGAAGCCTCCAGCCAAGGAATGCAGTTGGCTTCTCCAAACTGGGAAAGCAATGATGGGTACTCTTTTTTTTGTTTGTTTGTTTTTTTCCAGTTTTTGACTGGGGCCAGGTTTGAACCCGCCACCTCTGGTATATGGGACCGGTGTCCTACTCCTTTGAGCCATAGGCACCACCCATGGGTACTCTTCTCTAGAGCCATCAGAAAGGAACACAGTTCCTGCCAACACCTTTAACTTAATAAATTTATATTTTTGTAAAATGCTAATTTGTAACGGCAGCAATAAAAATTTAATATAAGCCACATCAGCATCATATTTAGAACAAGGCTATTGTAAATGAAAACCCAAATCAGAATTGGCTAAAAATAGTTGGCAAGCAGAACTACTATGAGTTGAGTGGGTCAACTGCTTTTTAACAAGCATTTTTAAACATTTTGTGTAAGCTACATACATGTATCATTTTGATAAAAAAAATAATACAGGACTAAACATAGTAAACAAACTAATCATTCTCATAATCACAGGATATAGAAGGTACATAGAATTTTGGAGATATTATAACTTTTCCTCATTTTAGAATGACAGAATTTGGCATTCAAATGTATAGTATGATTATGTGCCCACATTTATATTTTAAAATATTTTCTTTGCAATGTGTAAATTAACTTTTTTATAGTTAGGGTATAAAAATATTGGAGCTAAATTGATGCTTTCATACTTAGAGACACTGGGAGTAAAATTGGCTTATATTTTATCCTATATTGTTTTAATTCATCAAGCTTTAGAAAGAAATGAAGTGCATATTTTGTTGTAGTGACAATTGTATGGCTTATTTTATACTCTTCAAAATTTTTTAATAAAAAAACCTGGTTGATCATTTCCTTTTAATAAGATGTTACATGGGAAAGATTAATCTGCATGTAAGTCATGGCCATAACTCCCAGATTTACTGAAATGTTACAAAAACAGTACATTGAGTAAACCCAACTTTTCCTAATTCTCACACCTTACACAACCACAGAGCATTTTGAAACCTGAGACATTAACATTGGTTCAGTATTATTAACTAAACAACAAACTCTTTGAAAGACAACTGTTTTTCATTAATGTCCTTTTATATACTCCTGGGGTCCAATCCAGGATACCATATTGTAATTAGTCTCCTCCAAGATGTGAAAGGCTTTCAATCTTGCTGATCTTTCATGACCATTTAAAGATGACTTGTCTGGTATTATTTTCAAAAGTCCTTTAATTTTAAGTTATCTGATGTTTTCCACCTGAATAGGCATAAGAATATTACAGAGGCAAAATATCCTTTTCATCATATGATATGGAGTACATAAGATCAGAATGACTCATCATTAGTAATACTTATTTTTCCACTGTAAAGTTGCTATTTTTCATTTTCCATACTCTATACTTGGCAAGTCAGTTGTCAATTTCAGTTTACACTTCATGGAGTAGGAGTTTAAATTTCATTTTCCACAGGGAAATAGCTACACGCATCATTTGGAATTTTTCTTTAAGAATAGTTATTCCCCAAATTTATTTAATTACTTAATATGTTAGTGTGAACAGATATATATTTATTTTATGTTTTTAGTTATAATCCAACATTACATTATTGATTTCGTTGCTAAAATTGTTTCTGCTTTAACTATTAGGAGCTCTCTTAGGTTGGACCTAGAACAGTCTCCCATCATTGTGATGTTTCAGCATTTTCTTAATTACATATTACCAAATATTTCAAGCTTGTCTTTTATTTTACTTTCTCCAGCTCTAAAGTCAATATTTCTCCAAGAAGCCCGAGTAACTTTTATATAGTAAAACAATAGTTAGAAACCAATATTTAGGTATCGAGTATGCTATTTGTAACTGGGCTGTCACAGGTTCTGGGCCTCTCAGTAGATAAAATCAGGGAAGATTTCTATGTGTACTAACCCAGATATAAACATGAATATGTAATTATCTATCTATCCATCCATCCATCAGTTGGACATGATATCTCATCTAGCACTATAAGCTTTAATTTTTCCAGTTTTTCTCCCTTACTCATTTTTAACTCTTTTCTCTGAGAATGAGAAATGAAATTTGCCTCTCTCTCCCTCTTTTTTGTTTTACAATTGAATTACTTTTTTTTAACCCTAGTTTACAAGTAAAGAGGCTTTAGAATTGCTAATCTGTAGCCCACTAGAATTGCTAACACATTTACTACCTAGAGAACATTGTTCATACACAGTTCTTTTTGTCATTAGCTTTAGAATTTCCAGTTAAAACAGTTTTCCAAAGTTACTTAGGTCAGTTCCTCTCCACCTACCACTAACTTCAGTGGGTTGAGGTTATTTGACATACTTGTAATATAGTTTGTCATAGTCTAGAATCCATTTTGGGACCCCCCAATATCTTGGCTGATTGTTTTAGATTTGGATATATGTAAGTTCACTCTTTATAGCACACAGCTCTTTAGGTTTTGAAAAATGCACAGAATTATATATATATCACATAAGTGCCATACACAACACTTTCATCAGACTAAAAAATGTCTGAATGACCCCTTTGCTGTTAAACTACTCTTGCTTTCACTCATACCTAGCAACCACTATTTTCTTTCACCCCGGTAGTTTTGCATCTGCAGAGTAACAGGTAACTTAATTGTACAATATGTGTCACTTGGGTCTGAGATCTTTAGCTTATAAAAGTATATTTAATATCATCCATATTTTTTCATGAATTAATACTTTACCTATGTTATCACTAAATTGTATTCCATTATATGCATGTAGTATATAGTTTGGTTTTTCATCCATTAGTTGAATGAGATCTTGTTTTGCTTTATTCTTATTTCCAGTATTTGGAGATTAAGAACAAAGATAATATAAACATTCATCCCTAGGTTTTATGTAAGCATAAATTTTCAATTCACTTAAATAAATACTTAGGAGTGGTATTTCTGGGTCATGTGGGAGATATGTTTAGCATTATGCAAAACTGCCCAGCTCTCTTCCAAACTGCCTATAACATTTTGTATTTTTGCCATGAACAAATGAGGGTTCCTTCCTTGCTAGCTAGCATAGCTATAATAATAATTTTATTTTACCGCAGACTAACTTTTGTGAATATTTCATAATTTTTAATAGGTTATAAATATATGTTGTGTCCCTTTGTTTGCCTACCATCACTTTTAAAGCATTTTTAATTATTTGACTTTGTGCATAGCATCGTCAAATTGCTATGGTATTACAATTAAGTTTCATATTGCACATGTAAATGTTTAATTTTTTTCTACTCTTTAAGTGTGAGCAGTTTCTTGCGATGGAAAATATTTCAAAGCATGATGTGCAATGGACTTTAGATTTTAAGAGCACAAGCAGACTTTTCAAAGAAGGAATATTCAGGTTTAGTGACCTGAATGGAACGCTGAAACCACGAGAGAAGCGTGCGGTTTCTATAATTTTCTGTCCAAGTAAGTACCTTTCTCCTATATTTGTGTTTATACTTTTAATTTATCCTTCACATATTAAATTATTTTATCATGTATACAGTATTTGAGATTATTTGATATTTGTTTTTTTCATTTTAATAATTATAAATAATGTAATTTTATTGATCTTTTTTGTATATTAAGATATTTAACTGACAAATATTCTATAGTACATATTCAAAGCATACAATGTGATGATTTGATGTATCTATACATTGTGTAATGATTATCACAAACTAATTAATTAACATATTCATCACTCATGTTTTACATTAGATCTCCAAGCCTTGTTTTTCTTATAACTGAAAGTTTTTACCCTTTGATCAACATTTCCCTTACCCTCTAAACCCCTAACAGACTATGCCTTACACTCTGCTTCTGTGAGTTTAAATTTTTAGATTCTACATATGTAATAGTATATGGTATTTGTCTTTGTGTATCTGGCTTATTTCACTTAGAATAATGTATTCTAGTTTCAATCATTTTGTCACAAATGGCAGGATTTCTTTCTATGATATCACTGGTTAATATGCCATTGTGTATACGTATACCACAATTTCTTTACCCATCATTGGGCACTTATTATCTCCATAATTTGACTATTGTGAACAATGCTGTAGTGGATGTGGGAGTGCAGATATCTTTTTAAGATACTAGTTTCATTTCCTTTGAATATATTCCCAGAAATGAAATTACTGGACCATATAGTATGTCTATTTGTAATTTTTTGAGGAAACCTCCCAGAATTTTGCCTGTCATATTCAGCCCCTATAGTGGAAGGTGCTACTTCACACTTTTAGATTCATTAATTTCCCAAATTCCCAATATGGAAGACACCCTAAATTAGAGTCAGCACAAATAGTCATGAGAATTAGGATTGTAGTCTCTTGCATATGCTATTGGTTCTCTCCAGATGTTATTACTGGGCTTTTTTATCCATCTCTCAACTGTGAATGTTGCCTTCTGATAGTTTGTATCTGTCCCATTTTGCACAGTGTTGCTCTTGGCTAAAGGACGATACCTCCTGCAGAGATGCATAGGAGGTTAATCCTCACTACCACCACCACCACCACATCAGGTGGTCCAGCCATGTACAAGCTCTTTGATGAATTCATATCCTGTAACTCCCAGTGGGATTAGATCAAAGCTAGACTTCTAAAACCACAACTTTTCATAGCTATTTGCTCTGCCCTGTACTGTATCTCTTCTTTAGCAATGGGTTTTCCATAAAATCACTTGCATCAGGATCCCAAGGACCCTAAGTTTTACACATGTAGTAATCTAGATAAAATACCCACAGCTAGCTCTGTTTTCAATAAAAAAGATAAAGAACCTATTATAGTTTCAAAGGTTATCAGAGAGTTTATTGAGATGTGTGTTCACTCTCTCAATAATATTCCATTAACACCATGTTGCTAATGTGATGTTCTGCTGTATCTATTAACATGGCATTGTATAATCACTTTAGTCTCATGTGTTAGAAATAGTACATAGCATATTGTGATTAATAGGTTTAAAAATATTTAATTTTTTACCTCTGTTTAAATCTCTGAAAATATATCAACTATTCTATGCATTCTGAAATTTGCATTTTAAAAAATTAGGTTACATTATGCATTTCTGTAGTTATTTGAAGTTTCTGCCATGTTCTGGTTTTCAAAGAAATAGCACAAAGGCTATTCTAGTAAAACTACCATCCATATTTCTGTTCAGAGCTTCTTTATGTCTCAATTGACATTGATACTCAGATGAAATGTACTAGAGGATCTAGAAGGAAATAAACATTTCCATTTGAGTTCTCTTTCAGTGTGAAGTTGAGCCTTTGTAATCAAATTTATGCTGCTTCTTTAAAGTTCCAAACCTAACTCTTAAGAATTAAACATGCATATAAACACCTTTCTATAACTTACATCTCAAATGAGAGAGAAGATACTCCTCAGCTTAAAGATGGGTAGCACTGAATCCTTAGAAGTTTGAGGTTACACAAGGTACCCCTTTCTCCATGGCCCTAGAAACCTTTAAGAGGTCTGAAACCCAGAAATAATCTCAAAGTAGCCCTTTCAAAATCCAGAATTCAATAAGTCTCAACACCTTGCCTAATAAAGTCTGAAAATTGATTTTTGTCTCCCCTAAAAATGTATTAACAACATAAAATTAATTTAATTAAATTGTTCTTAAAGAATTTTAATGTGTTAAATATATAAATTTTGTTATGGCTCATTTTATCTGGTCCAGGTTCAAGTATGGTCTTTTATTTTTCACAGTCTTCCAGTATTCATTCATCATTGTATTATGGTATTAATAGGAAATCCATTGTTTCCCTATTCATCCTCTCCTTCTCTCTCCAGCTACCTCCCTTTCCCCAAGAATCCTAGATGATTTGATCAAGTAAAGGCATTCAGTACAGAGAGCCCTACAGGGTCTGATGAATTCAAATGAGCCTGTTGCTTTTGCTTCTGGTTCAAAGTGTTAACTTTGAACTTGGTCCTCCATCTGTCATTATCTGTTGTAGTGATAACCCTTGACAGCCCTGATCTTTGCCAGGCCACACTGATATCCCATTTTGGGGTTCTAAACTATCAAATTAAATTTACTTTACAATCACCAAGTCATAGTTTCCCTATGAGACATTGTGCATGGGTACTGGGTAGGGTTAGAGAGTGTTGGTCACTTAGCTGTAGTGGAAACTGTCCTCAGAAATTAGCCTGCAGCTTCCTTTGTTGAGTCCTGTTCTCCAACACAAGCTGCCTTTCTTCATATTAAGCTGCTACATGGGAATTGCCTATCCCTTCCTACCAAGTGAAATTGGCAGCCTTTCCTAAACTTAAAGATCTGCAAGGAATTGCATTTCTTTCATTTCAGCACATCCCTATCTCAGTAGTTCCCTGGGGTTTTTACCACAATTATCTGACTTCATCTTTATACTGCACATACTAAAGGGATGGGTAGCTTCTATTAAAACACAGAAAACAATTTTAAAAGGAAATCTTGTGCTACTTTAGTGAGATATATCAAAATAATGAAAATTCACTTTGAGGAGATTTACTCCACTTCTGGACAAGGTGCACTTTAAAATATTTCCTTTAAATAACACCTTGTTACATGTCTTAAGTTCTTCAGCCAGCTAAATTTAGTTTGTGGATAAACTGTTCTTTTCTATTATGTTGTAATGTCATGGTGCATTTTAACATTTAATAATATTTAAACTGTGTAAATGTTTGTGTATGTGAAATAATCTAAAATCCTTTTTTTGGGAATTTTTTTATTAGATTATCCAAAAAAGTATGCTATCAATATCCCCATACGTTTAAATGACAATCCAGTTTGCTATCGAAAGTTACGTCTGATTGGAGAGGTAAAATCACCCAAGTTACTTTTTGACCCTCCGATTGTATTTTTTACTCCTGTTCCTCTGAATGTGACAACTGTAGTGGATATCAACATCTTACCTGAAAATTATTTCAGGTAAATACTTAATCCAAGTTTACCACATCTTTTTTATGTGCATTGTCTTTGTGTCTATATTACCTAATAGTTATAAATAATGTCTGACTTTACATATTTGGGAAAAAAAACTATGAAAATATTTAACTGGATGTTGAAATTTAAAACTACTCCCATCCCCTCTACCAAGTTATCTTACAGTTGGTAATTGAAATTACTTCCAAGGATTTTTTTGGTGTTTCTAGCCAATGGTACACAAAGCAAGCCTGAACATTCAATGTATTAGTTCTCATTTGCTATGTAGTTATTTACCACAAATTTAACATGCATTTGATGTCTCACACAATATGAATTTATTATGTCACAGTTTCTGTGAGTTGGTAATCCTGGTTTAGCTGTAGCCTCTGCTCAGTGTCTCAGAGGCAGAAATTGAGATGCTGGCTAGAGCATCAGTCTTACTCAAGGCTCAGTCTTCCTCTAACCTCTCAGGCTGTTGGCAGAATTAATCTCCTTGTCTTTATGCATCTAAGGTATTATTTTTTGGCTTGGAACACTCTTAGATATTGAGTCCACCCTCATGTCCTAGCCATGTGAACACACACTCACAACATGGTGTCTAACTCATTCAAAGGCAACAGTATACCATCTATCAGATTTCTCTATCTCTGCCCTCCAACCTTCTCTTATGAGCTCTTCTGATTAAGTCATACTTACTCATAATAATCTTCCATGTGCTTTACTCATTCAATTAATTAGACACCTTGATTACTTCTCAAAAGTTCCTTTACCAAAGTCATATAATCTAAGTTAAGCCTGGAAGTGATACCCCATCTTTGTTAAAAGTTTGCACCCACACTCAAGGGGTATAAATTGCACAGAGTTTGTATACCAAAAGGCGGGAGGACTCTGAGGGTCATCTAAAAATTCTGCCTATCACGGGAGGACTCTGAGGGTCATCTCAAAATTCTGCCTATCACATTCAGACACTGTAGTGGAATTCAATCTGTTTTTATTTCTTTAGATTTATAAAAAAGCCAAATTCTTGATATGGAAGACGCTATAACTTAAAGTCAGTACAAACAATCATCATGAAATTTAGATCTTAAGTGATTTAGATGTAGGAATTAGCTGACAAGGAATATAAATAACTTTATTAGTGTGCAAGGTCAGATTTTAAGTGCATCCACCAGAATTTAGACTATATGTAACTACTGAAACAGTAAAGAGACAAAAACATAACCTCAATTAACATTAAAAATGAAAGAAAGAGTTACCATTCAATAAAAAATAATTAAAAAAAAGAAAGAGAGAAAAAGAGAACCATGCTAAAAAGAGCAAGAGAAAATCAAAACAAAAATGATAGAAACAACTAAATAGATGAAATGTTAGGGTGGAAAGCTCAGTTGATGCTCTGTGTGGGACAAGAAAATATTTTCTCTAGACCAAGATTAGCATTTGAAGGAAAAGTTTATTTTGTCTTTTGGAAGGAGGGAAAGTGGGGAAAAAGAGAGAGAAAAGATAGTAGGGAGATGGCCTGGCACCCCAAAGCAAGAAAGGAAATATGCCCATACTGAGGTTCAGTGGCTGGGTGAATTTAAGGGGAAAGCAAAGAGAAAAAAGAGATAATTACAGCCAAATTCATAAGATATTGTGGATATGAATGTAGAATCCCTTTTTCCCTCTGGCAAGGTTGAAGACAGACTTTTTACAGGTGTTTCCAATCCTGAAGCCCAATGTTCATACCTCATCATTCATCTGGGAGCCATAGCAACAAATTCTTAAAACACATGTAGTCAATAGGTCTAATAATTGTAAAGAAAAATTCACATTTCCTTTTTGTCTACGGGGCTCCTCAGTTGTGGCCAGGCACAGTGTCTCACACCTATAATTCTAGCACTCTGGCAGGAGGGATTGTTTGAACTCAGAGTTCCAGACCAGCCTGAGCAAGAGCAAGACTCCTTATCAATTAAAATAAGTAGAAAAATCAGCTTGGCATTGTGGCAGGCGCCTGTAGTCCCAGCTTCTCAGAGGTGGAGGCAGGAGAATCTCTTGAACCCAGGAGTGTGAGGTTGTTATGAAAAGTACATTAAAAACCTATAAACTCTAAAGAATGAAATTAAAAATGATTTAATACAAAAAAGTTGAGTCTTACAGAATATGGTATATTGAAATGAATACAAGGTCAAATAGTTAAGTTTGTGAACTCATCCTAGAAAAAGTTCTATATACCTCATTGCTGAATATCAGTATATTCCCCTTTGAAGTACTCCCCTTGGGAAGATATGCACTGACACCAGTGCCTAGTCCACCCTTCCAAAGAATTTTTAAACTCTTTTTCTGGAATGACCGACAGAACTGTTGTTGTGTGAGATTTGACAGGTTCACGAGATAGATCATCCTAGAAAAAGTGCTACATACCTCATTGCTGCATATCACTACAGTGTATTTCCCTTGGCCATTGGGTGACCATAATGATATTCAGCAAGAAGGTATGTAACACTTTTTCTAGTATAAGTTTGTGAACTTAATTGTTAGGTCTTACATGTAAAAGAGACTTAAGAGATGATGTTAATCTATTCTTGTTATACAGACACAATACGATTTATCATATTAATGACTTATTCGATGACATTTAGCTAATTAGCAACTGAATTATATCAAACTGGATTTATATATTACGTTTCTTTTTTTTTTTTTTTTT